CCCCAAAACCCCAAAACCCCTGTCAAGATTAAATTTAAACATTAATTGATCAATTAAATTAAGAAAATGAATAAAATATTTTCATTTAAATTGAAGAGATAACTATTTCGCTCTATGCTTAAGTCCATCCATAATCTCCTTTGCCTTTTGCTTAAAATTTTCAACAGCTTCTGAGCCGAATTCAAAGCAAAATATTTAGGAGTTCATGTAGGAGTGAGTATTTACACCACCAAACAATAGCAATTTGTTATCTTAAATAGATATTAAACTATGATTCCATCTTGATGCTGGTATACTGCCAAAAATAGCTAAGGTTTCCCACTCAAAAGATTAAGTATTGAAAAGGCATATATCGTTCAAAGCAATATTATTAAGCTTTTTATATATTGAGTTGTTTCTACCTCCAATGATAATTAGATATTTACCTTTTGTAATGGAGAGTGCTTAATGCCCATATCTTGCTAATGGAGGCGTTCCTTTAACAATAGAAGTAATATTGTAAGCTTTTAAGTTCAGTTTATAATCCTTGTAAGAACTCTCATTGTTATCATAACACTAGGTTGTAGAAACTATTTAGTTATTCAAATCACAATCTGGTTAAAGCAACCATAAATCTCCTAATGCTTCTTCAGCTTTCGAGGAATAACCACCATATAAAAAGAAACCATACTTGAAATAAGATTTAGAGAATGCTTGCAAATTCTAAACCCTAAATTCTTTTTGTAAATTCTAATTAGTCCAGAGCTATCTATCCCATCTTATTGGTTTGAAGAGTTCTGACTTATGATTTAATATTGTTGTAAAAGAATGCTCAGCTCTTGGTCCAATAGGAGTATCCATAGTAGGATACTTAACAGAAGCTGTAATCCAGGAGTTTTCAACAACATCAAATAAGATAAGATCATTCAAAACTTTCTTAAGCTCAGTATTAAAACCACCATAAATTGCAAATATACAACCCAAGATATCTCCACTATGATGTAACCTCTTTTAGGGAACATAGTTACCCTTCAGGCCTCTTTGATCCTTAAACCATTACTTCTCTTATGTATCAAAATATTTTATATCGTTGTAACACTATCTTGTCTTTATTGACTGCACATATAGTCCACCTCCTCCGAACAAAATTAAATTTTTCTAAAATCTTCTCATTGTTATAGCATATCTGGGTCCAGGATGTGCAGTATGAAGTATTTAGGTTGCTGTTAACCTTTATCCTTGACTATTAATGTTTTACTTTATTAATGTCCATTTCCACTAATTTGCCATTGGTTAAAGTAGTCTAATATCATCAAAGAGTTCCCTTCCGTAGCCTCCATATAGATAAATATCTTTACCTACAGATACCATTGAGCAGCTTTCCCTGGAATCAGGAAGTGTTCCAATGCATTACTTAGTTTCCCAAAGCCCCTTTTAAATTTTACCTTATTCTAGTCTTTCAATATTTTACTTATACTCGTTCAAGATATCTAACTCGAATTTATTCAATGTTGAAGTAGGACGACTCAGTTTTTTCTAATCAACTAAATTTATTTCAGATCTACAATTACCAGAAAATACTGGTTCACTCATTCGTGACCATTAATCAAATTATTGATTTACATATCTTAAGTTATCATCATGCTTTGACTACTCATCTGATTCCTAGGATATTAAAATTATCGGTTAATCATTTGCATTGAATCCAAACTAGTATTCTTTAGTGAGCAGGACTGTTTTTATGTTCATTTCTGCATTACTTTTTATTGATCTCTTTTAAAGCTTATTTTAGGAGTTTTAATCTCCCATATTTGATAACTTTAATAGCTTAGACTGAAGTTCCTTATCCTTCTTCTCCCTTCTTTAACTGACTTCCCTGATGTTACTACTTTTTCTTAGATAATTTCCAATTCCTCTAGGTTGCAATGGAGACATGCATTCTGCTCCTTTATTGTAAAGATGGACAATATGTGATCCTTTTCTCGGAGATGAGTTTTATCTGGTAGGATCAGCTGCATTTTAAAGTAAACCAGCTTCAAATTTTTCAACTTTAATCGATAACTTTCGTTGAAATTCTTTCGGTCTTGTTTTAGCTTATTAGATTTGGAGCTAGAATTGCTGCTAAAACTTCTTTTTTGAGCTTCTCATTACTTTTTTAATTAAATTTTCCCTTGATTTAGAAGTAATATGTATTTCATCATTAAATGCATCAATGACAACTTTTATCTTTTGATCATGCCCTTATGAGCTGACAGTTTAATCCATGTAGCTTTGATAATTTTTTCTTGGGGAGATCTACTATGATTTATGTACTTTAATATTCCTCTTAGATGAACTGAGCAAATTCTTCAGCAATTCTTTATTTTGATCTATTGCTTGCCCCATTTATTCAATTACCTTTGTGTTTCTATAGAGAAGACTTTGAGTATCATTGATATATTATTTATGCTTATATCGCCAATTCTTTTCTGTTTCAATTTCTTTATCTTTTTGATCCTCTGATAACTTCCCCTTGCTTTCTTCCATTGGAGAACCAACACCACTTTATAATCTCTATTAGAAATGCTTGTCTTTTTCTTCTATGAACAATTTATCTCTAATCAGCTTTAAGTGTGTTGGAGTAATACAGCTCATATCTTTTATGAGTTATTGCCTTCTTTATTCTTTGAAAGAGCTTATTATATCTGATCCACCTAAATTTCTTTACAAATTCTTAAAACTTCTAGTCAAATCTTAATTAGAAGAAGCACTGAATAAATTTCCCTAGGTTGTCATAGAGAAATTCGATCCTTTGTTTTTATCCCCATGGCCATGCTTGTTATTTTTCCTCTAGGATTATTAATCTAATATTTCACCAGGGTCTTATTCACTAATAAGTCTGTCTAGATTTTTTAGTTATTGACCTAAGTCTAGTTATTTTTCAGATACTTTCGGACCCTTAATCTTGAACCATTCATCTTTGCTTTTGGAATTGATCTTTTTCATCAAATTTGATTCTATATTACTCTTTATCCTATTTTAGAAGCCGAAATGCTCTTCCATTTCATCTTAGAATAATTTCTGCTATGATTAAAGTAAACTTTTATTAAGAACCTTATTCAACTGTTTATAACTATTGCTGTCAAGGGCACTTGAACATCTCATCTAAATTTGAAGATATTTATTAGATGCAGACTTTGGACTTTAAACAACCTATGATTTATTAAGGAGATCATAGAGGTCCTCTTTATGAGTTACTATTACAGGTTTAAATTGCTAATCAATTGCTTTTCTTATAAACGAAGTTCTTCGCTTTGCATTGTTTAATTGTTATGCCTGCGTCTACGGTCTCTTTGAAATGTCTGACATCAAAAGAGAATCTTCTGTCATATTACTCTTTTAATTTCGAAGTCTTGCTAGATGTTTTAATTTCATAACCTCACTAAATTCTTAATCAGAAGCCATTCTTTTGTTTGATTATGCCTATTTATGATTATTTTTTTAATTTCTTATCCATCAATGTTAAATTTGAACTTATTGCCTACCTTGAGGGGTTTTGGGGTTTTGGGGTTTTGGGGTTTTGGGG